TCCTTGTACCAAGAAATCATTGCTAATATTGTTAAATCCTTCAACGAATACATAAATCTCTCCCCTTAAGTAATTACAAAAAAATATGTAAAGATAGTTTCTAAATTAGATTAAGTCCCTTTTTAAAAGCGCAAATCTTTTGAATCAAAGTGAATTTCATTTCATTTAAGAGATTTTTTTTTTAGTGTGGATTAACATAAAATTTGGTTAATATTTGGTTAAAATTAACAAATATTTTTTTACTGTGTATTTAATATCACAAAAATCATTTTTTTTGCGAAAACGTTTGTGTTTTACAAATTTATTTAATAAAACCAAAAACAAACTTTCTAACTTTCCAACATCCTGGATATTGGTAATTATCAACTTTTTTATAGAAGTAAATTATTTCCTCTCAGAAATATTTGGTATAATTTTGTGCAGGCAATTCAGGGACACCTTGTATAGTCCGTATAATATTACAAAATATGTTTTGGTTTAACAAATAAAGTAACCAGTGCTTGTAAATTTTGTAGATCAGTTTAATTTGTATTTGTAAGTTATTTAATTTATTGTTGGACAATGGATATATAAAAACATCTATATTAGTTAAATTTGCATAGGACTACTGCAAATCTATAATTAAACTGTCAGGGTTTGATAAATAACAATCATAAAAATCGTTTAAAAATATGTTTTTGTTTTAAAGATTACCTACACGGAATTCTAATGTTTATTTACAATATTTCTCGTTTTATTCTTAATTATATGCTAAAAAATATCACAATAATTGGTTTGATAGAATAAAGTTAACATTTCAAGGATTATTTAAGTGTTTTTATAATTTTCTTTAATTAGTTATTTTGTTCTGCTAGAATATTATACCATTTGACACGTTAAAGTTAGATTATGTGTTATGTCACCCATAAAAACATCCTGCTCAATTACAGTGTCAAAATTTTTTTTTAAATTATAATTTATTAAAAATGTCCAAAGTTAAATATAAATTATATTAGGTAAAGATTAGGGTGTGTCATTTTTAACCAACTTTTTTTTCAACTAAAAAACAGGTTAAAAACTTTCGAAAGGCGAAAAAAGAAACCTCTAAAAATTTGAGCTCTTAATATTAACATTAAGTGGTGCCTGTTCCTAACTTTCCATTTTCCAAATTGTCTTAAAATCTACCATAAACTGTTTAAATAGTTTAAAGAAACTTACACCACTTAAAAGTTCAAAAGATCAAATATGTATCTACTTCAATCTTTTAAGATCTGTTGTTTATAAATATTTATTGATGGGTACTTTACTCTGAAGTACACTTATAAATTTATAACTGGTCTAACGATTACAATAGGTACCGCTAAGGAGCTTGTTTGTTTAATTACAGAAATAGTTCAGGGAAAGATAATAAGCTCTAATGATTTGGTGCATACTTTGAACAATGATAAATAATTGCTCTGTCGACAAAATATATAAAAATAAACGTTGGACATTTGAGTGCATTTTTCAGGGTAACTATTTACAGACAAACACGTTGATTAGTTACGATTGGTATTTCCGGACATAAAGATTTTATTGTGTGAAAATGCGTGGGTAGTGCAAACATTTAATAAAAAAAAGTTACCTCCCAACTGAGCACATTTGTGAAACTAATTCATAATAATTAATTAAATCTAAACAAAATAATGCGGTAGTCAAAGGCATTAAAAAAGTAAAACATATAACACACGAATGTCTTTGTTATATGCGAGGTGGGTAGGCATAAAAATATTACGTGATGTCTAGTTCAATTGGAATTAGAAAAGATAAATATTAAATTTCATATTCAGTGAGCTTCCATTGTAGGAAATGAAAGCATCGCATTTTGTCATTTGTTTTTCAGTCACGAACCACCACCTACCGACTAAAAACTCCATTTCGCTTATTATTAAGTCTTCTTCTTCCTCTTTTTCTTCCTTTTATTTATTGCGTGAGAAAATAATTTTAATAAATTGTATATTAATATTTTTAAGTGTGCAGGTGCATGCACTTCACACATGGGCCTGAATGAAAAAAATATTTGTTTTTTTATTAAATCATTTAGGTAAAGGTATTTTTTTTAGATTACTTTGAAGGTAATATTTTATCAATAATCGTTTAAAATAAAATAGTAACAAATGGTTATTCTTCAAAACTTTAGTTAGTTTTGTTAGTTACATCCGCCATTTTAAAATAATAAATAAAATATTATTATGACGTCACTTACGAATCGTATTGTACTCGTCAAACCCTTTCATTTAATATCCATATCAAGGGGGTTGTAAAGAAAAAGATAATTCGCCATGTTAGAGAAATTACAATATTGAATATAATGGATATTATCACCAGCACCAAAAGTTTGTGCAAAATTTCAAGATGAATAAAAAAATTGTAAAGTTAACGGTGTATCAGAAAAACAGATTCTTATTTTGAAGTGGTTTTTTTTTTTAATTTAATTGTTGATACCTATTATAATAGTAGACCAGGGTCGATAATTTTTGAAACAAAAAAAAGTTACAGTAGGATGAAACCCATTGGAAAAGGAGGAGAATATAATAAAAAAGAAAGGAAAAATAAATTACGGGCGATCTGAGTTCGGGAAGTGGGGGGGGGGTGAGGTTTTAAGGGTTAAAAATGGTTTATCTCGATTTCCGGCAAAACTACAAGTCCTATGGAAAAAAGTTAAATGGCAAAGTTGTAGGTAATAAAAAGATCTACAACTTTTGTATTTACAATTTTTTCACATAACCTTAAAATTTATGTGAAAAATTCAAATAACCAAGTTTTTGGTTTTTTATTTTTATCTTTTTCAAAAAAAAAAATTTTTCCACGAAATTTTGTGAAAACTTGCCTTTTTATGTCCCAAATACACTGTAATTTATTTGATTTGAAATATTTCTTTTTTCACCTTATTTTGACTTAATATCAAAAAGCACCCCAATTTTCAATCGAAAATTCTCGCTTCAAAATATCAGCTTTTTTCAAAAAGTCGGTGTGCTTTTTGTTCGTTGAAATCTCTACTTTCTGATGGTGTAAAAAAAATATACATTACTATAGTAAATGTTCTCAGAAAATGCAAAAAATCGAAAAAAACTCGAATTCGAAATTTTTTTTTAATTATTATGTACAATTTCATCAAAAAAAATGTGATTGCGGTAATTTTTTTTAGTTAAAAAGTTTATTTATTAAATTCTAAACTTACCTTTTTATGTCCCAAATACACTGTAATTTATTTGATTTGAAATATTTATTATTTCACCTTATTTTGACTTAATATCAAAAAAACACCCTAATTTTCAATCGAAAATTCTCGTGTCAAAATATCAGCTTTTTTCAAAAAGTCGGTGTGCTTTTTGTTCGTTGAAATCTCTACTTTCTGATGGTGTAAAAAAATATACATTACTATAGTAAATGTTCTCATAAAATGCAAAAAATCAAAAAAAACTCGAATTCAAATTTTTTTTTATCATTATGTACAATTTTGAGCTATTTATTAAAATTTACACTTTAATTACTCAAAAAACGTAAGATTCCATGTTACATTGATAAACGAAAAAATTGCAAATCGAAATATACTACTATAATTAACAAACAAATAAGTTAATAAATTTAATATTTAATAAGAGATCTACAATATTTTGAGAAAGTTGTAAAAATATTCTTATTTAATTTTTTCTAAAAGATTTACATAATAAATAATAGTGTTAATATATAATATTATAATATAAAATTATTATAATACGCCACCGAGAATTTAAAAAAAAAAATTATTTTTTCCCATAAATCAAAAAAAGGTTTAATTGTTTTTCCTATATTTTTCTGAAAAGTACATTTAAAAACAAAAATTTTGAAAAAAACCGTCCCAATGAATCAATTTTTAAAACAGTTATAGATATTTAAAAAATTGGTTGGTTGGAAAAAAAAATCGAAATGGATCGGGGTCAAAAGGGATCGATTTGGTAATGGTCTAAAGTTGGCTTTAAAAGAATGGCTCAATCCTTAATTTGGCAAAATAAACCATATACAGTTTATTTAAAATAAAATTTGTTAAAAAACAGTGATAGTTGAGGTTTGTATAAAAAGTTTCCTGTTTTTATAAATCACGGCTTATGCTTAATATATGAAGATATATTGTTAGTAGTTAGTAGGTAGTTGGTAGATACAACAAACATCTACTAAGTACGTCTATCTTCTAATCCTCATAGCACATTCGCTGCAGATAGCTAAAGTGCTCAATTGATGCCCGCACTTATCCATAATTTATTTTCACCTACTAATAATCTCCGTGGATGCTGCAGCACGGGGTACCCTTAAACACCAAACAAACGGCCTGCGTCGCGTATTTATACTAAGCTTTATATCACAATAAACAACTTGTACTAATGCCTTTCATGCGCCACAATTATAATCCTCCTGGATGTCGAACGATTAACCAGTCAGAGTGCTCACTTTACTCGCCATTTAATAGGTTTAATCTTCGAAGACACACGTGTTATAACAGTACAAACAGGCAATCAAATATTTTCATTAACCGTCCGAGATTCGATCGTTCGATCCGTAAACTTATTGATCAAATTATCCAAGGATTGCTTACAATTTGCTACAATGTATTTACACAAGTTTTTTCCGCAAATTTCTGCCAAGTTATGTGCACTTGCTTTGGAGGTACTCGTATGTTTAAGTAAGTTAGTACAGTTGTCAGTTATTTTTTCCCCGTTGCACTTAAACTACTCTCTAAAAATGAATTAGTCAAAAAAGACTAATTCAAAAAAAAATATGGGGTTCTGAAAGTGGTTTTCGTTTCTACTATCCAAAAAATGCCTTTTTGCGTTTACAGAATGTTTAGATTGATTCAGGTTTTTTTTTAATATCGATTTTAAGTTTTATTAATTTTGGAACCCGAAAAACCGTTATTTATTAATTTAAACCAATTAACTGGTAGGAAATTGTTCTCATAACAATAAATTAAAAAACAATAATAAAAAATTAAAAAAAATTAAAAAATGGGTTTAAACAGGTCAATAAAAGTACATCTTGACCTGTTCGAAAATCAGCTGTCCACCGAATCAGAAGAGCATCAAACAATAATGAAAATGATAAATCGTTATAGAGGAAAGAGATTTGATTCGATGTTGGCAGATTTTTGTTTATGTTAAAAATAAATATTTATTAATTTGTATACCGATTTTTTATTTCTGAATTAACATTTTTATGTATAATAATCCTAACTATCTTCAACTTCAATCTAATCTGACTTATCCCACAAAATTTTCCAATTTTACTTTTTATAAAATAATGTCATACAACTTATGGTTTAGAGGTCAAATTGTTTATTTAATATTTTTAAATAAATAAATATTAATATGTCGCAAAATTTGTTAAGGGGACGATAAATACATTTCACTGTCATATTATGATAGTGAGGCGTATTTGTCGTCTCCTAAAGAATTTTACGAATGTAGAATACAACATATTAGAACGTGGGTATCTAATATATTTGGAAATATTTTCAAAAGCTTCCTAGAAGCTCCATAAGAAACCTTCTAAGAACATTCCAAAAACGTATTCTTAAAATTTTCTTAGGATGCTTTTTAGGAAGATTTTAAGAAGCTTTTAAGAATCTTATTGCATCATTAAAAGGGTATCTATTGAATGTTTTAAAAGTCCCTAAGAACATTCTTAGCAATAAGGGAAGGTTCTAAGAATATCCCATTATTCCGGGTCATATCTTTTTAGAAGATTCTTAAAATCAAATTTTGCTATCAGGGTAATAACTATTAAATTAGTCATTTTTGACTAATTCATTTTTAGAGAGTAGAGAATGCTGCTGCATTTCAATAGAAAACATTATTTTGTGTCGAATGATGTGAAAATTGTATGGTAGTGTTGTTTGAAATAAGAAAGTTATTGGAAAAAGTTAACGTAAATACAAGACCTTTTTGATATTATTCTTTTACTTACTCTTTTTTTTACTTTTTAATGAAATAAACACTTTTGTTGCAGGTAATTTTATGGAAAACGAGTGTGTAACTGATCTATTTAATTTAAACTTGACAACATGGCATTTACATATCAGCTACTGGTCACACTGGTGTTTTAATCGATTATACTACCGGATACAGATGTTGCTGATTCCTAACTGAGTTAGATAATACAATTTGTGTTTGTTTGATCGATAGCCATTTTTCTCATTGTTTTTTTAAAACTCACTATCGTTCAGTAAACATCTGGGTGTAGTTATATGGGGTAAAAATATGTTAACTTTCGTTGAAATACCTTTATATTTACTTGTTAACTCGTTTAATTGTTTTAGATTAAGTTGTTTGGTGGAGGTTAACATAGATTAGCCTTAAGTGTTTATCTATGTTTATAAGATTAAATTAGTTCCTATTTAGCATAAACAATAGGTGAGTAAGTAGATTGCTAAGTAGAGCAAATAATAAATAGAGATGGCTTATGCAACTAATTTGCAGAAGTTGAAAATTAATCAAATAATTGATATAGTAGATAAAAAAGATATCGAAAATTTCTCAAAAATGACCTTTACTACTCTCTAAAAATGAATGAGTCAAAACTGACTAATTTAATGGTTATTAGTGGGTGCTTTTTCACTTGTACCATGGTTAACCATGAAATACCATGGTATCCCAAAATTTAACAGCCAATTCTTATGTAAAATTGTCCCCTGAATCCGAAAATACCATAAAAAATTATGAAAGTGGAGCAGTTTTTGAGATATAGTCAATTCTATATTAAATGGAAAATTGACTATATCTCAAAAACTGTTATACTTTTTTAACTTTTGACAAGATTTTCGGATTCAGGGGACAATTTTACATAAGAATTGGCTGTTAAATTTTGGGATACCATGGTATTCCATGGTTAACCATGGTACAAGCGAAAAAGCAGCCACTAATAACTATTAAATTAGTTTTTGACTAATTCATTTTTAGGGAGTATACCCATTTTAATATACATATTACATCAATTACATAACATCCTATATGATATATATATATATATATATATATGTATATATATATAAAATAAAATAAACATTAATTAGGGTAAACAAATCTTAATAATTTTCCATGATAAACTCGTGTCGATTATTTTCTATTTGAGTGGTTGGCTGTCGACACGCCCCGTATATAATTATTATTTCGTTTTTGCATATGCGTGGCCATGTGGCACTTCATTATTGCAATAAATAAAAAAGCAATATTATATGACTACAACCCCAGCGGGTAGTATGACACATAATTTTCAAAGTCATCGATACACGGCCATAAATAACGGCTAATAATATATCTTGCTCCGACTGATAATAATATAATTTATAAGAGGTTGTTTGTTTTGTATTCGTACATCGGTATGTACTTATTATTCTAAAACATTTCTCTCAGTTCGAGATCCTATAAAAGTTAATCAAATAAATAATTAAAATATACGGGCAGGAACAATCATAGCTCATAGAGTAGATTTAGTTTATTCTTATTGTAGTATTTTTAGGATGGCAGTTTATTAGAAATAGTTTTATCTTTTTGATCCTTTTCTGTTTTTTTCGGTATATTAGGAACCAAATATAGTTTTTTGCTATTCGTACAAATAAAAATATTGGTGAAATCTTTTACCATGTCGTCTCTGATTTTTCGATTTGTTAATTTCTATTTCTATTAAAGGGAAAGCTAGAAATTCTATAATTCCTGACAATATAAAAATTAATTAATAAACCACAATTTAGCAAAGTCAACTTTTTACAAATTTTGCATAATTCTCATTTAGAACAAATAGCTACAAAAAACTTTTAATTTTTATAGCCTGAATACATTTTTAATTGGAGACCCCGACAGGCGATTAGAAAGGGAACTTCTTAGAAGAAATTTGTGTTTTATGCTAATAATATGCAGTTTTATTTATTATGCATCAGAGATTAATTAAATTTATTTAATGTAATAATTAATTTTTTATTTACATTTTACTGTAGTGCAATTTCTCTGTGGTCGTCAATACAAAACATATAATTAGGTGATAATAACATGTTTTTTAAAAAACAAAAATTCCAACGAAAGTCGCCTAATTATTATTATTATTTAACCAAATCCTAAAACCAATTTGGTGTTTTTATATTAATTTAATCGCAATCGTTGATGCAACTGCATAAGTAAAAAACCTTGTTCGAAAAAAAAAACCGTCTACTTAATTAATTAGGTAAGTCGTATTTTTAGAAGTGTATAATATTCCTTAAGCCAGACGTCCCATCAAACGTGCTATAATTTAAGTCGTTTATTATAAGCGATAGGTGGGTCCATCGGCTTTTGACACACAGTGGAACAAAGATTTGAATCCAAAATACCTATGATTTCAATCAATTGATTATATGTGGAAAAACTAACATTTTATGTTTAAACGAATAAAAAAATAGTGATTTTTCTTATTGACATAAGATATAATAAAAAAAAATCAGTATACAGGGTGTTCACATTCGTGGTCCATTGGAAGTTTCTGGAAAACAGAAAAAGATATCAAGTTGAAATTTTTAAAGCGTTTTAGTCAAGAATAGCACCGTCTAATTGAAAGTAAGAATTAAATATTTAGTAATAAATTACCTAGTAGTAAAAATTGTTAATTTTTTTTGTTCTTAAAATATTTCATAATAGTGGACGAGTGCGACAAAAGGTCTTAAGACATGAGTTCTTTATGCTATTTTATCTATTTTGCAAAAACTCTATAAAAAAATTAATTTTATACCATAAATTTAATTTGGTCAAATTTTACTTTAGATAGTATGGTATCAAAGTCATTGGTTTGACAGTGAATGTCAAAAACGATTCGCCATGCCGTCCTTAATTTACTTATTTACAATAAGCGGCTGTAAATGTTAAAGAAGAAAAAAAGGATTTTCTTTGATGTTAAACAAAATTTATTGCCGTAAGTACTAGAAAAATCATAAAAATATTATAACCAATATGCAAAATATTATGCTGTTTAAAGTATAGCCAACCTATAAAATCAAAATTTTGGGTGGGATAAAGTATCTTATCAAAGCACCGAAAGCGGTGTTATAATGAAGTCATTATGAACGCAAAATAGATAAAATAAATTTTATATTTTATTGTCTCCAATGAGCTAGTGCTTTATGTAGTTGACACCCCAGCTTTGTTGAAGTTTTTTCAAAATTAGCAACTTTTAAATTTTTAAAATGTTTGTCTTGTCAAAATTTTTTATAAGTAAAATTCTTTACAAAACAATTAATTAGTTAACAAATTGTTTATAGCAAGCTGAAAAATTGACGTTAATAAATTTTGAACAATGACAGATTACTTGTAACCATAGATAACCAAGTTGTCACTGAAATAAGAATAAATTACAAGTAAATACAAAAAATATGGCAAAAAATTTAAATCAAATATGTATTTAAAAACATACTTATGTAGTTTATTGTATTATTGGAAAAAATTGTTCTTCCTAGCCATTTGTGTTTTTTTGTAAGCCTAGCCGTAGAAAACCAACTTTCTCGCTTCTATGGAGTCGGTAAAATTCAACTTTATCATAGTGTGGGAAGAAAAAACTTTTACAAGTAGTAAAACTGGGAAATCCACTAATTTTTAAAATCGCAGGCTTCTAAAATTAAGTTTAGACAATGTATGCTTTTAAACAAATACTATCCTAGGTACATTTGTTTTTATTCACCACCAAACAAACAAACATAATAAAAACAGAATTAATTATGGCCAAAAGCATAAAAAAATTTAATTATGTTTACAACAAAACAGAATTAAAATATGTTTACGATGTAAGTAATACTCATGCGTTAATAAAAGTAACTGCAAATTTAGTGTAGTTGAAATGTTGGTCCCTCGGTGCGTGAAGTCGGTACCGTTTCGGCGTAGCTGTCCACCGAAGAAAAGAACAACAAAACGAAACGGCAGAAGAGCAGCAGCAGAAGAAGAAGACGGCGCACTGTGCTTCGTATGACGATCTCCATATTTTGGGATTTTCTTCAAAGTATAATACATTTTTTGGATCACACCATCTTAAGAAAAGTACGACGGATGAAATTCATTTTCTTGATCACTTTCCATGTCACGACATTTGAAGTTACTTCAAGGCTTCAAGAAGAGTGATGCTACATGGGGTTAATTTTGCCTAAATATAAATAAATTTATAAATTATAAATAAATAAAATAAACTAAAAAAACAAAACAAAGAAAATATCAAAGCAATCGGTTTTTAAAACTTCCAAATATATATCTGGAACTTAATATGTATGGATAAAAATATATATATACATATAACAAATAAAATATCAGAGCAATCGGATTACCCACCCCCTGAACTCCAATTGTTTTTGACGCGGCCTAATAAAATACAATGCCAACAGAATAAGCTTTGTATGGTTAAAATGTTTTATTATTTGGGTGGTTAAAAGGAAAATAAAACTAAAATATTATTTTAGATATATATTCAGCTACTAATACAAAAAATATGGAAAATAGAATAAACTTAATATAAACTAAAAACATAAATTACAAACTAAAGTAAATATTAAGCTGATGTATAGGGACATATAAACACTTTTCATCCTCATTTGATCACCAGGTCATAATTATTGATTTATCCCAGTTCCCGAAAAATTCTGCAAGTACCTACCCATAGATTGGAAACTGCACTAGCGCTAGCGGCAAAAGGCTAAAGTAAATTAACGCCATCTAGGTCTACAATACCCTTAGCAATGCCAAAAATTGAAGTAGATTTCTGTAACATATATTGGCGCCATATTTGAATGTTGATGCTTAGTAGGGTGCCTTTATATATTGTATTTACTGCTGTATTTTAAATAAAACAAGTATATAATATAAGATTTATCTATTCTAGTAATAATATAATATAAAATAAAATACATACATCTATATGTATATATTAAATACATAAACGGTATACATGAATATGTTTTTGTTTGGGGAGTGCAAACCTAAAAAATATTAGTCTTAATTCTTTATTAATAAGAGGATATTGCAAAATTTGCTAATTTAGTTCAGGCTACTTATACATATAGGAATTTGTACAAGGCTTTTGAATGTGGACTTTTGGCAAGTTTTAACCAACCGTGAAAAATCCATCTTGCCAGCACTTGGTAAATTATAGCGCTTTATATTTTTTCCATAAGATACGTTCAATTTAATTAGAAATTTTTAGGAGATATAGTAGTTAAAAATGTATGTATAGTTAAAATGCGTCTTTTTTGCTACGAGAATAATTTAATAATAACGAGATGAGTCTTTTGGCTTAGGACGGTAGGATAGTCAATACTTACAAATTGGTTACATTTCCGCACCCAACAACAATACATTTCACAACTATTAACACGTTTTATCACTTTTAAGGCGCAAAAATGTATATAATAATTCAAAAATTATGATCAAAATCAATAATTATGATTGACATTGACATTTGCAAATAGCGTTTGTACAGATGTCTGCAATTTACAAATAGATATAGTTCAGGTATTGTAGCTCTAGAGGGCAGTGGTGGGAGAGTTTCCAATCTATGGGTTGTATTATCTTTGTACCAACCTACTTATTCGGAAAAATAATATTCAATGATTACTCACCAGAAATGTTGTACAGATTGCAGCAGCGGGAAATCATTTCATTGGTTATCTTCGGTGGTGTGATGCCTCCCAAACTAATTGTCCAATATTGTGCAAATGGTTAAATATAAATCTTACTGTTTCCAACAAATTATCGTAGCACGTTTATAGAAAATTATGCTCCAATGGCAGTTTGCACTTTTTTCAAATGGATTTTTCTGTGTATACGTGAACTCGCCTTATATATTAGTAAGGAAATAGTAGCTGGTAAGTAGGAGCTTCACAGGCTATAAATATTTCGCCTCTGTTGGGTTGACTCTCAGCGGTTTAAGTGTGGATTTTAATTTACCATTTGATTGATTTATTTTTTACTTGTTATTGTGTGGAACTGCAGTAAACGTACACTTGTAATAAGTAAGCTGTTTTCCCTACTTTTTTTCGTATTATGGGGGAGTGTTAAGGCAATGGCAAGCACAGTGCGAAGCCGGGGAGGACGATGAAGGCAAAGAAGAAGAATATTTGAGGCTCGGCGAATGTCAAATCGTGTCCGTTCGATATACCGACGTTAATGAGACGATGTGCGGCGGACCGCCGCCGCGCCTTCCAACCTCGCTCAGTATGGCTCGAGCCGCGTTCACGGTCGCCACACTGCTGGCCACATGCTGCTGCCAAGTCCACGCCACGCAAGACAGACACGCTCGCTCGGGAGACCTGGACAGAGGGCCCCCCGTGGCCCTGCAACGACGCCTCGAGATGAGCACCGAGTTCTTCCTGATACCGCCGACGCCTGCCCCGGCCGGTCACATCACCAAGACGGTGTGCGCCGGCTGCCCGGCCGAAACCGAGAAGATCGCCGGGTACTTCCGCGAAGAGACCTGGGTGATCCCCGTGCTGGCCCTCAGCTCAATCGCCATGATCATGATCGCTGGTTTCGAGGTTTTCGTGCTGTGCAAGGCCTGGAGGACCACCCCGAGCCGCAGACACTTATTCCTGGGGCAGATGCTTTTGTTGGGGTTGTTCGCTTGTGCGGCGTTGGGAGCGGTTGTCACCGCCTCACCCACGCAACTCACCTGCGCTGCGGTGAGATTCGGCACCGGGGTCGCTTACGCAATCGTGTTCGCCTCGCTTCTAGTGAAGTGCGTGTTTCTGATTAGCTTGAACGGCGGCGTCTATCTCCCGGCGCCCTACCAAGGCCTATTGCTTCTGTTCGCGATCTTGATTCAGATCGCTATCGGGGTGCAATGGCTTGTAACAAACCCGCCGTCTGTGATGAACGTAGATACCGCGATACACAGCAAACATAAAGTATTGGTGACGGCGGAAGACATCTCGAACCCCGCGGTGATACCCCTGTGCAGAACGCCCTACTCGGAAATACTGATGTCCCTCATCTACGTCGTCTTCCTCATACTGTTCGTGACGGTTCTGGCGGTCAAGTCGCGCCGCATCAGAGACAATTACCGCGAGGCCACGTACATCGGGTTGTCTGTGGGTTGCAGCATCCCCACGTGGTTGGTGTGGACCGTGAGCGGTCTGGTGGTGAGCGAAAGGCATAGGGACGCTTGCATCGCCTTCGGACTGGTGATCTCGTCGATATCCGTGTTTTTGATCATGTTCATGCCCAAAGGCAGGCAGTTGGCCGCCATGGGCAAGGAAGGGGTCTACGTGGAGGACCGTGAGGACCGATTCTCCTCCTTGAGCAGGGCTGGATCTGGATACTCGCCCTCCTTCTTCCATTTCAAACCCATCAAGTATGGGTTCACCCATGGCAATACCCACAAACACCAGCACACGGTCACCACTTTAGGAGGAGGTATGTTATCTTATTTGAAATTTACTCTCTAAAAATGAATTAGTCAAAAATGACTAATTTAATGGTTATTAGTGGCTGCTTTTTCACTTGTACCATGGAATGTCATGGTATCCCAAAATTTAACAGCCAAATTGTCCAATGAATCCGAAAATACCATCAAAAATTATTAAAGTGAATCAGTTTTTAAGATATAGTAAATTCCATATTAAATAGGATACCATGGTATTCCATGGTTAACAATGGTACAAGTGAAAAAGCAGCCACTAATAACTATTAAATTAGTCATTGTTGACTAATTCACTTTCAGAGAGAATATTATACAAGATTTGCATGGTATTCTTGTAATTTTCATAATTTTTTATTTTAGAAAATGTTTAACCGATTATTTATTTTTATTTTTTATTTTTATTTATTTTTATTATTTAAGTTGTAAATCTATTTTTTCTTTTTTTATACCAGTAATTTTAATGTAAAACATTTTGTAAATTTAATAACAAAACCCTACATCAATATTTCAACCATAATTAACACATACCTACATAAATAAACCCAAAAATAACATACACACAATTAAATAACACACCATTTTGAAATCATCAAATCATAAAGAAATTTGGTACTATACAAGGTGTCCCTAAACTTAGTGGCATAAATTTAGGAGCAGATTAAGCAAGTCAAAATAAGACGAAAATCTAAATAAATATTTTTCCTAATTCGGTATGTTTAAAAGATACAGGGTGATAAAGTGTTACTTATCATATCTGTTTTTTGAATATAACTTCTACTATGGTAGACTTAAAAAGGTGATATTTTGCGAGCAGTCACTTACTACCAAAACACATATTCACACATAATTACAATTGTTTGAGTGAACGCGGTGTCGTAGAAACAGGGTTTGCTTAAGCTTATTGTCCCATAAAAACTTTGAACTACAATTTTTTTTAATGTGACCGTCAGGGGAAAAAGTCCCGAGGCTCATGGAATTCCCTTTTTAGTTTTTTTAATTAAAAAATAAAATTTGTTATCATATACAAAGGTATAAAGGAATAAAAGTATTCCTTTTAAATAATGCGATATAACAATTATTGTAATCTCGAATATCTCGGAAACGGTTTATTTTATCGAAGTTTGAGAGGTACACCTTTTTAATGGTAGCCGAACTGTGTAATCGAAAAATTGCATCAAATGTTATAAAAACCTTACCTCAAAGTTTGTATGGGACAATAAGCTTAAAGCAACCCCCGTTTCTATGACACTGTGTTCACTCAAACAATTGTAATTATGTGTGAATATGTGTTTTGGTAGTAAGTGACTATTCGCAAAATATCACCTTTTCAAGACTACCATAGTAGAGGTTATATTAAAAAAACTGATGTGATAAGTAACACTTTATCACCCTGTATTTATTTATTAATTTATGCCAATAAATTTAGGGACTCCTTATATAACTATCAATATTACTACAACACTTACTGATGTATTTCGTAACTTTAACCCACTTCACTGAATACCCTAATTTCAGTTTGAAAACCAGTGGTGGCATCTTTTTTCGGATACTTAACAAACTAAAAACTCATCTTAACAAATCTGATTTTTATAAAATTGTATTCTCATGAAGTAAAAAAATTGCACAATGCATTGTACAAAATCATTACTAAAAAAAGTATAACGTAACAGAAGTAGGCTAAGAATCACCCATTGAAAATATCTCATAACGCTTACACATTGTACTTTTAATAATTCCATCAAAAAATTATTTTATTTTAACAAACTTTTAAACGCACGTCAATCAAACTTTATGAATGCAAAAACTTTAACAATGAATACGCGTTGAAAATAAATTACCAGGAACTTACCGCATGCTTATAGTGATTTTTTATGTTTACCTTGTAGTGGTTTTATACGGATTTTGTTTTGAGCTTGTTAGAAATATCTGCCTATTATTATTAGGTATGCGTATTAATTTATTAGACAGTTTGGTATCGATAGATTTAAATAAATAAACTTGATAAATTGCAAATCATTTACATACATACATATTGATTTTGCCATTAAAATCATAACATGTTTTCGGAATTAATCAGTAAATTCTTGGAAATAAGCCTTTTATGTCTAAAGTAGGTACTTTTGTTTTCACCAATAACAAAAACCATTTAATTTGTAGTTGTTTATTAATAAACACATCAAAATATCTGTAGATAAAAAGGTGTTATTCTCACCGATGTAACAAGAAATTTACCTGGAAACATTTACTACGTTCATGTATCTGAGACAGGAAACTTTCCGTATCTTAAATAAATAGAATTTTAAAAGTTTTACTTAAGAACACTAACTTATTTACATGCAAGACATGAGCGTACCCGCTAGACGTACACACTTAAAAACCAGGTAAACTGACAAAAAACTAATTTATGGTTAGGAATAAATATAAAAAAGTTTGGTTAGGTAGGAATATTGTTTTGCTGGTAATCAATCTAAAAATTTGATTTTTTGTATTTAGTTTTTGCCTACTACAGTTGTACACAATAAAAAGTAAAAAAATTAAATTTAGGGGACAATTTTACCTACATAATAACCTTTTTGATCTACTAAGAGAATAACGTAATAAAAACAATATAAATACCACAAATTTACGTAAAAATAACGCTATAATTACTAACTGTTTGCTCTCTCTTTCTAAAACATTGACATTCGTAATTTCTTTGTTCTTTTAATTTATATTTTACAAAATGGTACTTACAAAGTAATAAAGTCCACCCTAGAGTAAAATTAAAAAAATATAACTTAAAACTTAAACTCAAACGCACATTATTTTATTGATAAAAATAGGCACGATACATCTTAAAAATTATATGCCCTCTAAATATTTTACGGTTTTAAGAAAAATTATTGCTTTGGTAAAAATTCAACAAAACTTAAAAACTACAAAATTTTATAAAATCTTTTAAAAATCATTTAGTTTTAATCATTTTTTAATAACTAAAACTTTCCTTATTTCACTTTAGAAAAATATTTATGAAAAAATATTATATAAATGTTTAGATAAGTAATGGATGCCATCTTAAAAAACTCATTATGGAACCAAAAAAAAAAATTATTTTTCATTGTTTAGTCAATATTAATAGTATTTATTACCACTTATAACCCTAAAAAATACCAGGCGAATAGGAATTATTTACGGTTATAAAGTGGTCTTAATATCGTAAAATTATGACTTATGAGTAACATTTACCATTAAGTAAAAACGTTAAAATTACCGTTAAATTTTCCTTTAGGTGAAATACACTTATAAGTGTATAATTAAGTAATTTTTTTTCGTAAAAATTACGTCCCTCATAATGCTAAAGTGTTGAAACTTGAGGGTTATTAAAATAGGTAAAAATAACATAAATACGAGGTGTGTTCAGAAAATATCGGGAATTTTCGTTTTTTGAAACAAATATTTATTTATTCGTCTACATTAATGTTTTCGCCTTCAAAATAGTCCCCATTGAATATTATGCACATGTACCAGCTCTTCTTCCAATACTCGAAACACTTCTAAAACTCGATCTTTGGGATAGCCTTTAGTTCTTTCAGCGATGCGCTTTTAATGTCATCTATGCTTGCAAAACGACGGCCCTTTAAGGTTCTCTTTATTTTTGGGAATAGGAAAAAGTCAGAGAGGGGCATGTCTGGCGAATATGGAGGTTGGGGCATTATTACAGTATTGTTTTTGGCCAAAAATTTTGTTCAAAATTTGACAATATTAGAACAAATTTTGCTGCCACGCGTTTCATACCCAAAACATTCGAAAAAATTTCATGGGATGAGCTAATCGATATACCAACATCATCAGCGACTTCTCTGATGGTTTATAACCATTTTTTCTACTTTACTCGTAAAAGTTTTACTTCAGAGTAAATTTTTAAGGTTAATTTAACAAAATATTTACTTAAATTAAGTAATATTGCCTCAAAGCTCTACGCTTTTACTTAAAATGCTGGTTGTTGTTTAAATTTGGAGGTACGCTCATGTCGGTCATATGCCGTTTGTTTTGCATTTCAAGGCGAGCGCATTGAAAAATATCGCCAATACGAGCTCCGTTGTCGGTCAATTGGCCCGAAGAAAAGAAACGCGAAATGTATACGCGACAAAATTTTACGGTAAAAAATGAAGGACGCGGCGGCGGTCCAGGCCTGCTTGTCTTTCGGCCGTATTTGGACACGCCAACTGCGTTTTACTTCTCTTAGGAAGGTATTTTGGTGCACGAATGTGGAAAAAAACCATCACAATTAAAAAAGTAATATCTAATTTTTTTTTTAGTAGATTCAGTGAAATTTAATAAAATAATATATTGGCTTCCACAGTAAAAATTTGTCCTAATAAAATAGAAGTACGTAAATGGGCATCATCAACAAGTATTATAAAATAGCAAAAATAAATTAATAGAAAGATTACTAAAAAAGGCAACAACTTTAATGTTTATTTCCTCGCAAACCGCTCATCTGATTTTGATGATTTTTTTTTTAAATGTAGGCTGACCCTCCAAATATAAATTTTTAAATACTTTTAACATTTTTTTACTACCACCTTTAAAACGCTCATTTGATACATGTTTCCATGAAACTAAGTGATCTTTTAAATACACATTGACAAGTGGTAACTTTTAGTCACGGGCTGAATTTGGAAAGAAGTGAGGTTAAAATAGTTTCACTATTTGTTTATAAAATCTTATCGAAAAAAAAATTAAATATCTAGAAATTCCCAGGTCTATTCAAACGTCGCTCGTGTAATCTAAGGAAGTAGATAACCTTAAAACCCGCAGTAAAAAAGCAATTATTTTATTTAAATTGAATTTGTTTTATGTCGGACCACCCTACCACTGTCCGTTCGATGTACAGTATAAATTAACATGGCAAGTAATGATAATGCTTAAGTACAACAAACGTTTTTAAAGCGATAAATTACGTTTGCAGACTTCTTCATTTAATTAAGAAAACTTCTCGCTTACCTTAAGC